ATAGAGAGATAGAGAGATAGAGAGAGAGAAAGAGAGTAAAGAGAGTAAAGAATATAGATGATTGCGTGAAAAGGTCAAGTGCAAATATTTTATACATCACATTAAAAATATGCATTTTTATGCTGCGCAAGCGAAACAACGAAATTAATAGATTTCTGTTATTCATTGCGTGAAACGTAGCGTACCGAACACTGTTTAAGGATTAATTGCATCATATTTCGTATGCATGATTTACACACATTATTTATACACATGTATATACAAATGTGTTACTTTGTCTGAACATGACTTTAAGTGAATATAGTTATTTACACCGTAACAATCGTTTACAGCCGCTGAATTATTTACAAGAAAATGACTCCACAAATTATGACTTGCAAGTAAACATTCGAAGGCGAAGTGATTAATTGAAACATGAGTTTCCATCTGTCAATGCTATTTTTATTAGTTTTATTTCTATGTGCTATAAAATGACATAACTGGGTATATGTGTCGAAGCATTCGGCGATAGGTGTTCAAATTAGGTAAATTATCTGAGGCGGTACATTCTCGTAGTTGCAAGTGTTCCCGGTAAGACGATACGGTACGGCACGTTCCATGTTGATGCAGTATTACAGTAGCTCGATTGGAAGCGAATTACATAACACTTGTATTATGTCATAATTTGAAGCACATGGATATCAACCATTGATAGGCATTTGATTATAGATGGACTTTAATACATTCAATTGTCTTTAGCGGAAATTTTTGTAGTTACCAAAATTTGCGTAAGAAGCTGTAATCCGACATGCATCAATGCGTATCGATCGATATGTATACATATATATTTACATATATAATATAATATATTAATTTGTATAATGTGTGTATATGTACACAGTATGCATGATGTATCAATTTATTCAAACAACACGGGGTATATTTATTTCAAGAAGATGCGCGCCTTCATTCGATAGCAATGTAAAGGCTTTCGCTATGAGGTTGACGCAAGTCACAAGACGGATGACACGAGACTTCTCTTAAATGTTAACTTAACAGTCAACTTTAACAAACAAGTTTCGTTGACATTCGATATGTGTTATATATATACCATACAACATTTCGGATAGGAGAGTATGTTAAGTTTGTGTACATGCACGCAATATCTAGAAGAGAGCGCGAGATAGACGCAACTTTTATTATACCGATAGATTCAGGGTCACTTTTTGCATCGCTTTACGCTTTGCCATCCGGCTGTCAGACCATCTTTACCAGACCACTTTGACCATTTAACGTCTTATTTGGAAATGTCCTTATATTTATATAACGACGGTAGATTATTTTAGGCTATTTAATGATGGGCCATGGCGTACTGTGGGTGTTTTTAATTGTTTCAAAACAAAAGTTTCGCGAATTTTTAGACCGAGTATATGCTTCGTTAAAGAAACGTAATTGATATGTTTGCGACCTGCTTGCAAAATCCTCTTGCTTCTACCGAATGAAACCTGATCACAAATACCCAAGATATTTAAGGCTTATTCATATTGTTGGCAATAAAACTTTTCGCTGGCCAAAGGATCCCAATAGCGTTTATCGAATACTTAAAGCAAATTATTCCAATCATTAGAGAAAATCGGAGTTTTATTTATCGCTTGATGCATATATTCTGCCTTTTCTCCTTTAAACCTACAGTTGGTTTTCCTTAACTGTGCCAAAAAAGGCCTATATAATGCTCTCAGGCCTTACAAGAAGTTATTAAAGGTTGTTTTTTATTTATATTTAAACGTTAGCGACCGTTTACGAGTGAGCACGACAATAGTTGGAAAGGATTTGAGGAAAAGGAGAGCGAATAAGAGAATTGTTTTGAAAAGAAAACAAGTAAGAAAATTATACTCGCACCCAATACCACTATCCTAAATCAGTCTAAAAAAAAAAAAGGAAAGAAATAATTTTCACGTCCCATAATGTTGATTGGGCACAAATGAGTTTTTCCATTATAATATAGAATAAAAACGCAGATTGATATGGCATATGTGTTGTACTTTATGAGTAACAACTAAAAAACACGGAAGTCAAAGGTACTCACAGTTTTTATTGTACAGGCATGTGAACAGGCTTAGGATGCGATATATTATCTTCTGCGAACGAAAGAATGTTTCCCACACGGGTACTACATAGTTGAGCAGACGGACATACTTTAAGATTTTATATACCTTGTGGGGCTTTTGAAGCTTGCTTCTGCTCACTAGAAAGTTATTGAAAAGAACAATTAAATTTTATTACACCACAATGTCGATGAGGCGTGGTCACTTTTTTCCATTTTTCTACAGTTTCGTTAATAGAATGTAGATGCAAATTATTGTACACTTATTTGGTTTAGTGTAAATGAGTAAACAACCAGTTTTGTTATTCCTTTTGAAAACCAAATGTGTTCCGACTTTACGTACTACTATAGGCATGCCCTTCGATCGATTTGGCCCATTTTCAATAGCGATTTGCGCGTACGAAGTTCAAATGTTTCTACCGAGGTCAGAGTATTTACAACAGAGATTGCGTAGACGGACAGACGGACAGGCTTTAATCGATTCAGAATTTGTTGCCAGATTCCTTTTGGGCGTTGCAAACGTTTCGATAAAATGAATAAATACCTCATGCTTCGGTGAAGGGTATAAAAATGTACATTTCCATTGAGATAAACCTCGAATGTCTTTCGCATTAAAAACTTTTTTGGTTAATAAGGCTGTGTGAGAGGGCAGATTAAGATATTTTAAGTCGTCATCGTTTATTTCTTTTCGTTTCTTTTCTTCGGGCCTTGCAAACGCTAATTATTGCCTTAGGAAACAAATCAGCAAAGAAATTAAGCCTACCGTTGACGTTATTCAAAAATTGTATTATGAACAACAAAGATGAACATTTAGTTCGTATGATTTCATCTATTCCTTGCATATGCTTTTAATTTGATGGAAAAACAAAACGGGGAACAATATTGACATCGTTTTTGGTTTCTTTAGATGTTGGCTCATCTCATTTTCATATGAAAATGTTTGATGTAAACGCACTCCTCGGGATTTGTATAAAAATTCATTTGTTGGCAGCATAAAAATGATTTCTTATGTCAGGTCAGTAAGACGAATGACCTTGGTGAATAAGGTCATTGAGAGTAAGTGGTTTCTTGAAATAATGACACAATGCGTCAACATAACCCCAAAGCAAAAAGTCCAACAAAGTTATATGGCAAGACCTTTGCGGCAAATATCTGAAAGCGTTTCTGTAGATTCCACGATCATTGAACTTTCCTTTCAACGAATTGAATGATTTTGTCACGAAATGTGTGGCATGTTGCACCATTTGGTTGCAGGCAACCCGTAGCTTTATTGCTTCCGTAATAAGGTTTAATAATTTGATCCAAATCTCAATCAAAAATGTATCTGATAAACATATATATATATATATATATATATATCCATATTATCTATACATAATTGCAGAGTCCAAATTAGTTAGAAATTACGGGCGTCCTTAACATGGAAAATAATATGCAGAAAAGTAAATGCAAAAAAAAGATGTCAAAATTTTAATTTTTTTTGTGCAAAATATGTTATTCCATTTTGCATATAATACGCGCGGCCCGCATTCTCTCAACAATTGCCGAGTACTGTTTTCGATATTGAAATAGAAATGAAAAGTTTGATGCATACATTCGTCATCTAAGTTCCATTATGGAGACCTGATCCATAGATCCACAAACCATTACTGTACTGTCGTCAAATGAATAGTGGGATCTTTAGACCATATGATTTGAAGCAAGGCGGCGCTTATTATACCCTACACTATACTTGTGGTGCACGTGTGTATTCAGTTTGCGCGAATCTATATAATATTCAGAAGGGCGTGAGATAGACTCACTAGACCGGAGACCCAGTGATTCTCAATCGAACTAAGCTGGCCTATCTATCTAAACGTCTGTGTTCTCTATCCGTTCGGATCACTTTTTCAACCACTGCTCATATAAAACCTTATCTTGAGAACTCCTTGCACAAATAACTGTATCATGGGTAATGGTGTAAGGTATTTAATGGTGGGCCATGGCCTTCTATAATGTTTTTGCTCGCTAATGCGGTTATATTCATAAATTGAAAGCAGCCGAACGAATTCAAGGTCGGTTCTTGAAACGCGACTGGAATTGGAGCGAATTGTAAGCCGCGGCATCTGTTATACATTTGCGACAGTTGACAAGAAAATCGGGAAACGTTCAATTATTATTATTAAATCTCTTAGTAACTCAGTTGTCTTGAACGGCCAACTAATATGGTCATAGCTAACGATATAGTTTATAAAGTATATTGTTATTCAGTGCGTGTGCGTATCTACTCAAATTTCCTACAACATATAGTTGTGATTAGTTTTGGAAATTAAACGACTCGAACACTTTGTCACGCTTAACTGTAGCACATTAACGAAGTTCGACTCAAATAACAAACCATGGATAATCACGTTCTTGTCAATCGCGCCTTCTAAGTAAATATCATTTATGTATACATGCTATCCGTCATTCATTCAAAAACGAAGCGTACAACATTATGTTTTTAGGGATAGAAATTTCTGTATTTAGGTGTTTTGCTAAGCCGGTCGTTACTTATTTGAAATGAAGATAAGTACGTTTTCATTCCTAGAAATAGGCCCTAACAGGCACAATCAGAGCAGAATAAGAGCAGTTTCCGTATACTGTCGTATACTTTAAACCACAACAACTGTTTAATATAAAACAAACATACGTACATATATATACATATATATATATATATATATATATATATATATATATATATATGTATGTGTATATCGTTTGTAGATATGTACATGTATGTTCTTATGCATGCATGTGTATACAGTAAACCTAACGTTTATGCAATAATAATAATAATGATAATAATAATAATAATAATAATAAGAAGAAGAAGAAAAAGTGCCTGAAAAAAGGAAACGAATTTCATTTAATATAATTACAGTTACTCACTCACCCTTATCGAGTCAGATGTTACGCTTGCGACACAACAGCTAAAAATTGCATTGAAAAGAAAAAATAAAATTTCTGTTGAGAATTTCATGAACTTGCAGGCAAAACCGACACAGAGCAAAATTAAAATATCATATTATTTTCGATATGTATTGTATGTTTGTTTTCATTATAAAAAAAAAAATAAAACAAAAAAAAATGCCCTTTTAAAATTAAATGTTATTTTTACCAATTACTTGTTATTATTAATTTCTTTCTTTCTGATTGTTTGATAAATGCATTCACATTCTTGCTTTTAAAAGCCGTGAAAATAAATATAAACAAATGTTTCGTTACACACGCATGCAATTTGTTAGTGCCGTTAATAATATTTAACTTTGTCATTAACACAATTTAATAGTTTGCGATATATATATATATATATAAATATATTTTTTTTATTTCTCTTTTTTTTACATTTTTGTTCGTTTTTTTATTTTTATATATATCTATATATATATATGTATACGTATATACATATATATATATTTTCTTTTTATTATTATTATTATTATTATTATTATTATTATTATTATTATTATTATTTTTATTATTATTATTATTATTATTCTTTATATTTATTGCATATTTGTAAAGGTGACGACGAGACAAAACGATCGTTGCTTTAAAATGAAAATTAGAGATTAAGAAATTATCGAAGCATCCATTGCAACCATGAGGCTTAAGCATATAATAACAGTTATTGGATTTTAATTAAATATTAACCAATTTTAACTTGCTTTAATATTTAATTAATTAATTTACTTATTAAGAAATTCTGCAAGAACCACTTGTTGATGATGTGTGATGATATGTTTACATAAAACGAAAGAATCGTACACAACAAGAATAATAACAAAAAATGCGAAGCGGCGAACTCTTGCTGCTGCAGCAGCAACACCACTAACCCAATCAATTTCAATCGCATTGATGCCAATAACAAAACTTAATAAAAGTATATAATACAACAACAAATACCACAACAGCAGCAGCAGCAGCAGCAGCAGCAGGAGCAGTAGCAGCAATAACAGTATAACAAAATAGTTTAAACAGAAGAAAAAAAATAAAAGAATTGTGTTTAGTTTCAAAAAAGCAAATCTTGAACTTGAGAATATTGTTGCCGTTCGCACGTTTCTCACAATAATGATTTACAGTTTCTTCGCTCAGCACGTTTTAAACGAAAATAACTAAAATTCACTTTAGACACATACACGGTACACATTTCGAACACACAAAGAAAGTATATATATATATAAATATATATATATATATATATATGTATACATACATTACCGGGCAAACTTCAAAAAAAAAAGAAGAAAAACATGGCATTTCAATAGCACAATCAGCCAACCAAGCCGCCCAAACAGTCACAACCGGCTAACTGAATGTAAACAGCAAACAACAACAGTAACACACAATAAACGATACTAACAAATTAAAACTTCTCACACAACACAAAACAATCGCTCTCGTTGTAGCCGCTGATCTCTTCAAAATAGGAAAATATCGGTTGTTACTCACGCACCGTCGTCGTCGTCGTCGTCTTTTCAGATTCTAAAGAAGAAAAAGAAAAATATATTATTTGACTCTCCGTTCGATCGCTCCGTTAAAGCGTTAATTATCCACAATAGAACGCAAGGTAAACACACGTTAACCACCACTCTTCAGAAAGTATGTATGCAGCCATTATAACGTAACTTTATGCGTTCAACTTTATTATTCCCTGTGTGTAAATCAAACAAAAAAAAAAAAAAAACGTGTGTACGTTGTCGGCGGTTACATTTTCAACATCTTTCGGGTAAATTGTGAATTTCGCCTTCAAATAATAACACATCCGTTGCGGTACTCTGCGAATCTCCGAAGAATCTATTTTTAGATATAACTATGGAAATAGAAAAGCACGGCATGAATTATCCGATTATGGAGACAAGTGATCATAAGGAAAAGTAGTTCACTGCTTCTAACGGTTCTTTGAAGATTTCGCAAAAACACTGTTGAGCGTGTATTGTTGTCGTCCTTAATCTTGTGTCGTCTTATCATGTCCCGCGACTTGTTGCGTCCATACTCCGTTTAATGCCCAGGGGAATCAGTTCAGCGGTTAGAGTGGCTCCCAGCAAGTTGAGAAACCCTAATACACAGTACTGCGCGTGTTTTCACCTCACCTACTAATGCAATTTTGATTGAACTGAAAACCTTTATCACGTAATTTTTGTTCTAGCATTTTACCGTTACGGATAAAAAGACTTTCAAATATATTTGCCTATGTTTGCCTTGAATCATTTTGTGGAAGAAGTTTTCAGATTAACTGAATGAGATTTTTTGATTAACTTGAGCAAAATCTCATGTAAAGCAATCTTAGGTAGAAATTTTACAACACGGTATTCAGAAGCAATATTACCGTTCACGGCCACATATATATGCAGATACGTACACCCATCGACCCATTCACATATATATGTACATATATATATACACATCTTACGTATGTTAATAGAAGTAGAAAGGGCGGACAACTTGCGCGGATTTTGCTTTAATCGAAAATAGATTAATAAAATAGAATTCTACGTTCGAATGTTCGAATGCTTATGCCCCCATGTATATATATATATATACCATTGGGTTATTTGCGAGAACACAATACAAGTCGATGCACTTTTGAACTTCTCATATCCGTAGCTGACTAAAGGCCAAATTTTCGATTCATAGATTGATGAACTGTTCCAAGTGTTTTCTATATACTGTTATGGTGTATGTGGGCCCTTGGTCTCTTAAGCTTCTCTCTTTAAATCCTTCCACTGATCAATGAACAGTGAATAGTTGATAGTAAGCTTTTGCTGATAGAAGGTTTACGGGATTAATGCTTGATCATGATATGATTTTTGAGATCTGATGGTTCAAAGTGCACCGATTGCTTTCATACTTCCATCATAGTTTCGATCATATAAGTGAACTATCAAAAAATCTCTTCATTGAAATGTGATAGCCAAAGAAATCGTCGAACATATTTGGTGACTGTCCCGTATACTAAAAATTGTATTGATTTAAAAAACTTTCAGTTTTCCGGAAATTTATTTTTAACCGAATCAAAGTGAGAACAAATCGATGAATTTTAATTTTGTGTTAAAGTACAATTTTATTGACTTTTCTTTACGGCAACGTTCGCATCGCGTTACTTTACGTCAAATGAAAGAAACGCTTAAGAGTTCTCTTAGTGATACACACAACATCATTATTACGATCGATATATATGATCATTATGGCATTATGAGTAAGCAACATGCCTTTAACTGCAGCTGTTTATATAAGCAACAAAATAATATGATCCGCTTGACGTTAGGTTTTCATAGATATTCAGTTTGAGTTAATTATCTATAGAAAAACACCCAATTTTTTGTTCAAATGGCGATCTTTTACTCTTTATGTATTTTCAAATGAAAAGTAATCCGTCTTTACTCGGTATGTAAGTATATGTAGTATATGTGGCGCGATATGGTTATATAATAATTTCAAATATTTATAATCTTAAATTTCGATAAATAAGTCGAGTGTGCTGCACTGTTGTATAATAATAAAATATTTTGTGCATAAGAATATTTATAAGAATCGGGTGTTACGGGCGTTATTCAATCGAACCGATTTTTCATTTATTAATTCGCGAAACACTATTTAAATGCTTTACGTTTATTCAATCGCTCTCCTTTTATGCGGACCTAAGTTTTATATGTGTGCACGTATGTTCATGCGTATGCAATTAGCATAAAAATTAAAATTTATCATAGTCTTGTTGACTGACAGATTATGATTATGTTTACAGTTATGATGAGGTGACTGTCATGCTATTATTTATTGACACATTTGTGGTTAGTGATTTAATTTTCAATTATAATTAATTTTTAATAAACATAATCATGGATGTACTTAAACAATAAAATTATGCATAAATACTCTCTACTTGCAGAAAGAACGAACCAAGACCGACGAGTATAATGTGTTTGTGTGTGTACGCGTGTACGCATAAATTCATTCAAACATTTTAAATACATAAAATTATGCCCTACATCGTTTTAATGCTTGTATTATGTTCGTGCAGCCGTACAGCCGTACAGCCGTACGTCGAGAATTGCTTAAGGTAAACCCTCGTTTTATTATCATCATTATACCATCATATACGTAATGAGATTGTCTCTCCGTCCGTCCCCCTGATGTTTGTCCATGTATTCTAGCGTTCGATCTACAGATCGCAGTCTTGGAAACGTTATCGATGAAATTTTTTACACTCACGTGCCTTGACCGTCGGATGAACGCCGTTGAAAGTGGATTGGATCCGAGCAACTTTTCGACAACTTTCCAAAAAATTGCAATTTTCAAAATTCCACTAAGCGAATCGGTGAGAAAATTGTTGTGAAAAATCTGAATCGGATGAAGCTGTATTTGCAACCGTCCCTACGAAAAGAGAACTCTTCGATGATAAAAAAGTCTAAAGGGTAATTTGGCGTAGAGATTGAGCTCACCTTAGATCCATTTTTGGCATCCCGTCCCATATCAGGCTTTTAAACAAATACAAACTCTTAACTGTGGAAAAGTTTTAATTTGTTAGTATATTTAATAAAGAAAATTTATTAAAAAAAATAATTTGATGTAAAAATTAATTTGGGCAAATTTGTAGCCCGTCAATCTGTTTCTTGGACACCATGTCATATATAGATTGCTATGAACGGTAAGGCCTTTCGAAAGAGATTTCCCCTTTCAATATTTTACGATGAAAATTGTTTCACAAGAGGAATATGGCAAAAAAAAAAAAAAGAACCCCAAGTCATTCGGATCACTTAGACTACACTTTCTACATTTCGCGGATTTCTTTCTCCCATTGCCTCCGTCTACACAAGGCCTTGATTTTGTTCCTACGTTCAGAGTTATTTGTTATGCCTTATAACATTTGTGCTACAAGTTTATATTACGTTCGGTACGTATGTATGCAACAGCTAGAAGGACTTGACTTAACTTTTATTATCGATAATACGATTCCGAATCGATTTCCGTTTGGACGTCCGTCTCGGTGCCTTGCTTTCTTATAATCAATGTATGTGACGCAATTTTTAGGATATTTTAATGAAAGTTAGTAGACCGGCACATTTTTGACCAATAACAAACGCTATTGAAAACGCCCGGGATCGGATCACTTTTTCAACCACTTCCTATATAACGCCTTATTTTGAAAAGTCCTTACATGAAGTCCTTGCGGAAGTCTATTAACGGAAGTGGCGTAGGGTGTTTAGTGATAAACCATGGTGTCCTGCTCATTTTTATGAGAAAACTTGAACATATCTTCAAGCTTGAAACTAAATGCAACATTTTCCATAGGAGAATGTGAATCTGTATTGAATATATTTTTATTGGAATTGTGCATAAAGTTCCTTGGATGCATTAACGATTCTCGTGTGAATTAAAATTGCTCGTCTTAGCTATTTTTTCCTTCGTGTTCTTAGTTGCTATATATATCCAGTTGGTATCTGTATACGATTATAATAAACAAGTCAGGCAACTAATTTTTATGATTTCGTCATCCCGATAATAGACTGTACCTGTACCTGGGTTTTAAATTCAATTAACTATAGATAGTTTTAAATATCACCAAAGGAATGATTCGTGCGTTATGTAAACTTTATTTTAAAGCTAAACTCTTTCGAAGCGAAAACTTTCACTACAAGACTTAAACAATTATTGAAGAATTGAGAATGGCATGCGACAAGTCCTTAAAGTATAGCTAAGTTTTATCAAGACAGCGTCTTCTCATCAAAATATTCGCAGCACCAGCTTTACATTTCCCGCAATGGCGTGCGAATTCAAATAAATGCTTTGGTGAAGCAATTAATTTGGTTCCACTCGATTCTGATGAATGTTTAGCTAAGGTAGGTCGCTTATGACTTCTCTATGGTATTTCATAAATTATTTCGATTCTGAGGAATTAACCTCAGAGTGGCAATAAGAGAGACTTTATAGATTTGCAACGCGGGCTATTGAATTAAAGTCAGCAGATTTCAGTAGAAATTCCGGCATATCTGCGGATTTGTATAATGAAGGAAATGAAAGATTAAAAGCTGCTTTATTGTGCCTAAATTTTCAGGCCAAGGGGTTGCACGAAAACATTGGTAAGTAGAGCAGTTTGTATAAACATATTACGATAATGAACTGAAAGATATTGCGT